TAGTCCTAGAAAATCACTAGGGCTATGACTGGGGCCCACAAAGAGCCTTGGCAGGAGCAAGAAGACTTCCCGGAGGAGGTGCTGCTTAAGGGGCCTTGAAGACTAGAGAGGAGAACTCCAGACAGAAAAAGAGGAGGTGGCCCGAATGTCCTTAGGACATTTGGAGCCTGAATGCTCTAAAGACAGAGGTCCTAGGAATTGGCGATGGTGGCAACTGTGTCTGCTTTTCAGTTACTTTTCATTTCATTGTTTCAAAGACCTCCCGGAAAACAAAATTGTTACAGGCCAGTGTAATAACATGGTTACCTTGCATTGTATCTTCCTTTTTTTTTTTTTTGAGTTTTTAAAAAAATTTTTTTATTTATTTCAAGAGAGAGAGACAGGGTGAGCAGGGGAGGGTCAGAGAGAGAATGTGAAGCAGGCTCCAGGCTCTGAGCTAGCCGTCAGCACAGAGCCTGACGCGGGGCTCGAACCCACAGACCGTGGCCCAGGCGTGGTACTGTGCAGGGGGGTGGGACTCGTACATGTCTGAGACCAACAAAGGGTCTGCCCACACGGAACTTACACTCTAGGAGGAGACGTGGGCAGAGAACAAGTAACGAGAAGGGTGATGAAGAAGGGGTGTGACTTGTAGGCCCACAAGCCTGGTCTGGATTAAGGGTGTAGGAAAAGCCCCAGGAAGAAATGGAATTTCGCCTGAGACTTACAGGATCCTAATTAATACTTAACTAACACTCGTAGAGTGTCTATCCTGACAGACACCACCCTGAGGGCTTTACATATTTAATTCACTTAATACTCACAACAGACCTGTGAAGCACAATACTATTGTTGTTCCCATTTTAGAGATGAGGAAACTGAGCACAGAAAGGTTGACAAATAGGACCAAGGTCATATAGCTTATAAGTGGAAAGGCCAGCCTTCAAACCCAGGCAGTCTGGCTGAGTCCACACTCTTATCAGGGGCTTAGGTAATGGGAAGGTGGGGCGTATACCATTTAGGATAAGAGGTGAGGCTGGACATCAAGGCAGGGAATTTATCCCAAGATCAATGGGAAGCATTGGTAATTTTAAGGAGGAAATGAGTACATCATTTCTGATGAGACTGCATCAGAGGGAGCAAAGTGGGAGGGAGGGAGAAAGCAATGAACAGGCTGTGAACTCGGACCACCGTAGGGACAATAGACTTGGACTAGGGCGGCAGTGGCAGTGGCGCAGAAGAAGAAACGGGGTTGTTCGGTTAAAACAAATCTGGAGCCAGAGCCAATGGGACTGGCTCATGAATAGGATGTGGGGACAAGGGGCTGGTGTCAGATTTCTGGACTGGACATGTGAGTTGGGGACACAGGAGGAGGAGGAGCAGATCTGGGTGGAAGATAATGAGTTCAGCCTCTGACTTGTGCAGCTGGATAAAGGGGACCTTCGGACAGCCAAGGGACATGTCAAGTGGGCAGTGGAGAGGCCACCTGGGGCTGAGAAGGGCGTCAGGGCCCGGGGGAGTTGTCAGCACAAAGAAAGTCCCCGAAGCTCTAGGAGGTGTGGGTGGGTCTTGAGGGGAAGGAGGAATGGGGCGTCTGGACAGCATTCCTCAGGACTTCCTGGGGTGTGGTTAGAAATGCAGGTCCTCAGATTCACCCAGTCCCATGGAGGCATATTTCATGGGTGGGCCTTGGGCCCTGCCTCCCCGGAGGCTTTCTGGGCGACCGTGAGGAGGGCCTTGAGACCAGCTTGGTGAACAGCGACTCTGAAGACTTGGGAAGCATAGGAAGAGGTAGCTCTCCATAATGGGGAGCTACCCCAGCTCACCACTGCCCCCAAAATGCTTTGGATCTGCAACTCCATTGATGAGACGCCAGATGCCAGATCGCAATCAGCTCGCTCAGGAGGACAGCTTGTGACCAGATCGGCCTCCCCTCCCCTCAGCCCTCCCACGGCATGGCTCTTATCACCTCCTCCACCTGCTTACAGCCTTCTTCTCCACCAGGTCCTGGAGATAATGTCGGATCCATGGAGCTTCTCTCAAGAGGTCACCTATCACCTGCTCCTAACCCCGCTCTCCAAATTGCTCATTCCTTCCTTCCTGCTTCCTCCCCCTTCTCCTCCTGCCCCCTGCCTCCTGCCCATGCAACACTCAGCTTTTCCTGAGCACATTCCATGTGACCTTTTCACAAGTTGTTCCTCGTGCTGAGCACATCCTTCTCCCCACCCCAGTCCTACTCATTCCTCCTGACCCTGCTCCGAGGCTGCCTCCCCCGAAAGCTCCCTCATTCTAGCCCCCTCTTCCTATGGGCCATAGCGTTTGCCCTGGGCCTCCCTAGCAGGCAGTCAGCTTAGCCAGCCCCTGGACACAGGAAGGGCATGCATATCCTCTCCAAACATGCTTGTACACCTGAGTGCAGACCCTTGTCTCTTTTAACCCTGGTTCTCCCTTACCAGGACAGGAGTGTGGTGCTGGGCACAGTGACGATAATCACAGGACCTCATGTGGACAGAAATGGTCTTCTAACATTTTTTAAAAACGTTTTTTAATGTTTGGGGCCCCCGGGGGCTCAGTCAGTTAAGTGTCTGACTCGGGCTCAGGTCATGATCTCATGGTTTATGATGTCAGGCCCCGTGCCGGGCTCTGTGCTGACAGCTCAGAGCCTGGAGCCTGCTTTGGATTCTGTCTCCCTCTCTCTCTGCTCCTTCCCCTCTCGTGCTCTGTCTCTCACTGTCTCTCAAAAATAAATAAACACAATGGGGTGCCTGGGTGGCTCTGTCGGTTGAGTGTCTGACTTTGGCTCACGGTTCGTGGGTTCGAGCTCCGCGTCTGGCTCTGTGCTGACAGCCACCTTAGATCCTGGAGCCTGTTTCAGAGTCTGTGACTCCCTCTCTCTCTGACCCTCCCCTGCTCACGCTGTCTCTCTCTCTCTCTCTCTCTCCTAGAAATAAATAAAACATTAAAATAAATAAATAAATAAATAAACACTGAAAAAAGCTTTTAATGTTTATTTTTTCTTGAGGGTGAGAGAGAGAGAGACCATGATGGGGGGTGGGGGGGGAGAGGGGAGGGGGGAAAGCAGAGAGAGAGGGAGACACAGAATCTGAAGCAGGCTCCAGGCTCTGAGCTGTCAGCACAGAGCCCGATGCAGGGCTCCAACTCACAAACCATGAGATCATTACCTGAGCCGAGGTCAGATGCTCAACCGACAGAGCCACCCGGGTGCCCTGGAAGTAGTCTAACCTGCCTAAGACTCAGAGCATATTCAAGGACTTTTAGATCATCGACCACAGGACTATAGATGATAAAGGATAAATTGCTGGTGGATGCTGATTTCCATGGCCAAAGTGGTGGCAGGGCTGGAGTCTATCTTTGAATGTGGCCTGCAATTTGGGCCTGTGACCACCAGTATTAGGCGCATTCCTGTCTGATGGTACTCTGTCCAAAGTTGTCACTTGGGCACATCTAGGAGTCAGGAACCCAGTCCCATCCCACAGCACCTCTTCTTGTTCAGGCCTTAACATCTTTCCCCTCTGGATCATGCGTGGGCCTGCTGGAAACCCCTGCCCCCAGCACAAAATTATTTTTTAGGGGAGTTGGGGTGAGTCTATCCTACTCTCATGTTTCAAACTTGGCTTTTCTACTTCTCTTGGCTCTGCCCTGTTTGCTCATATACTTTTTTCATTTAGTTTATTTATTTATTTTGAGAGAGAGAGAGAGAGAGAGAGAGAGAGAACAAGCAGGGGAGGGGCAGAGAGAGGAGAGAGAGAATCCCAAGTAGCCTCTGAGCTTGTATTGAGTAGGACATGGGGTTCGATCTCACAACCATGAGGTCATGACTAGAACCAAAATCAAGAGTTGGATGCTCAACCAACTGAGCCACCCTGGTGCCCCCGCTCACATGCTTTTTGAGCTTTGTTCCTACAGTTAATCTTCAGCCTCAGAAGGTTCACAGAAAACTACAAATCTCCTGTTTTCCAAATCTGCCCCAGCCTCACCGCAGGTCCACAGAGTCAGGATCTGCAGGGGAGGGGCCTAGCTACATACATCATTAGCAAGCTCCTCAAGGCTCACTAATCAAATTCACCCCTCCCCTGCTCCACCCCTCCTTATTCAGGACGGTTCTTGGAGGCCCCAAAGCCCCCCCCCCCCCAGAGCAGTCAGATCTGAGCAGAGACTTAGTTCAGCTCTCTACAGACCCCCAGAAGTCATCCCATGTCTCTGGGCCTCATTGTCCCCATCTGTAGTCTTGCCTAACCTGCAGGGTCCTTGAGAGGGTGGAAAAGACACTGGGGATGGGAAACTGAGGCTCAGCGGGGAAGAAATCTGCACAAGGTCATCCACCTCCTCATCTGCCAGTTATGTGCCAGGTGCTGGGGATTCAGCTGGGAACAACTTGTTGGGGGAGATGACATTCTAGTAAACAATGAGACCAGTAAATGAACCAGATAATCACGATAAAGGAAATAAAGGGGTTTTCAAGAGTCAGGGCATACGGTGGGGTGGGGTGGGGCGGGGTGGGGAAGGCCTGCCCAGGAGGGGTCACTCCAGCAGAGATGTGGTTGTCGGGGAGCTGTCCGGAGAGGCCCTGGACAGTTGTCCCAAGCCCACGGGCGGCAGAGCTGGGAGGCCCCCTCGGGCCGGCCAGGGCGCTCCCAGGGCCCCCGGAGGCCCGGCGGGCACAGGTCTTTGTCTCCCTAGTTTTCTCTGAAGCCTCTCCGACCCCCAGCGCTGTTCCCTCTTTGACCCCGAATAACTTGTTGGCTTCCCTCGGGCTTTGTTTCCCCGGGGTCACCGCCTCCAGGGCGCCCGGCAGCCGCCCCGGGGCCCTCGCGGGTCCCGCATCTGACACCCCTTGCGGCCCCCGCCCCCTACCCGCTCGGAGACAGGGGTCAAAGGCAGCCCGCGTCACGTGGTCGCCGAGCAGCACCGAATCGGCCGGGAGAGCCGAGGGAGAATCCGGGTGGAAGCCGAGAAATCCAGCCCCGATAGCAGCTCCCGGTCCCGCCCCGGCCCCCGCCCCGGGGCGCTCGCTGCACGCCCGTCGGCCGCTGGGGCCTCCGGAGCCGATCTCGGGCCGGCACCCACGCTCCATCACGGGATCGAACCCCGCTCCCACAGCCGCGATTCCGGGAGGTAGGCGCCGCGGCGGGCGCGGGGAAGGGGAGACGGGCTGGGGGCCCTGGGCGCGCGGGCTCGCCCCTCTGTGCGCCGCCGGCCTGCGGGGCGCGGGCTAGGGCGCCCCAACTTCCAGCCTTCGGGGAGACCCCCACCTCCCCGCCGCGGGACCGCGGGGTTTGGGGGGTGGGGACGGCGAGCTGCCCCAGCGCGGTGCCGGGGGCCGGGACTGGGGGCTGGGCACCGGGCGGGCGGGGGAGGGGGAGGGGGACAGCGGCGGGAGGCGGAGCGGGCGGCGGCGGCTGCGGCGTGGAGCGGGGGTGGGAGCGGCGGGAGGCGGCCGGCGAGGGGTTAACCCCGGCCGGGGCCAGAGCCCGGCGGCGCCCGCACGGCTGGGGGGGGGGATCCCGGGCGTCCCGCGGCTCGCCGGGAGCGCCTCCTCCCCCGGGGGGCGCCCCAGCCGTGGCAGGTAAGGGGCTGGGAGGGCCGGGGCCAGCCAGTCCCCTGTCGCCGGGCCGGCGGGGCCCGAGCCGGGCGTGCAGGCCGCGCGGGGCCCAAGCGGCCGCCGGCGCAAGTTTAGTGCGGGCGGGCGCCGGGCGGGCGAGCCGCGTCTGCCGGGCCCTGCGCACGGGGGTGGGAGGACAAAGGGGTGGGGGGCCGCGCTGGGGCTGGGGGCAGGCCGGGGTGCGGGCGAGGGCAGCGCGGCAGCTGTAGGTCACGGATAATGTCACTCACGAGGAATGCCCCCTCCCCCTCCCCTACTCCCGAACAGGGGAAACTTTTGTCTGGCGAGGGAGGGGGTTAGAGGCCGGGTCCCCGCTTGGGGCAGGGTGAGGCGGCCGGACCGGTTTTCTCGGGGCTGCGAGCGGCCTGGTCTCTAACTCTCTTCCTCTCTCAGGTTCTCAGAGTGAGGAGCCTCCGCTTTGAACGCTTCTCTTTAACACCCTGGGACGGGGTGGGGAGGGGGCACTGGCCTCCCGGCTCTTCCCTGGATTGAGCACAGGGGTCAGCCAGGAGCCATGCCAGGCCCCGGGGACTCAGGACCCCACCCCTGTCTAGGCCCCCCGCGCTGTACTGCCCCCTCAGCCCCCAGTCATTCAGAATGGCCTCAGGCAGTACTGCCCCTGGTCTTGAGGTGCAGACTGACCTGGGTGTCTGTCACTTCCCAGCTCTGTGACCTTGGGCGGGTTCCTTCCCTTCCCTTCACCTCAGTTTCCTCACCTGTAAAATGGGGTAGAATATGATGAAATGAAAACCTGTGGTACCTCCGTAAACTGTGGCATGTTTATATTCAACAAGTATTTATTGCATGTTTACTATGTGCCAGGCACTGGGCTAATTGTTTTGCTTTGTTTTTAAGTGTTTGTTTATTTTTGAGACAGAGACAGACTAGGAGCAGGAGAGGGGCAGAGAGAGAGGGAGACGCAGAATCCCACTCAGGCTCCAGGTTCTGAGCTGTCAGCACAGAGCCTGAAGTGCGACTTGAACCCATGTACAGGGAGATCATGACCTGAGCTGAGGTGGGACACTTAACTGACTGAGCCACCCAGGTGCTCCCGGGCTAATTGTTTTACATACATTATTTTATTTAGATCTCCCATTTTACTATTAACCACATTTCACAGAGGGGGAAACTGAGGCACAGGATGGTAAAGGTGACACAGGTGAGAAGTGGTAGAACTTGGATTTACTTTCCTCCCCTAGCCCGAGTCTCAGCTACAGGTCTCTATGAGGTCCTGCTGTGACTGAGCTCATGGTGTCGTTTTCAGTTGAAATTATGAGGACATTTGTCCCCTCTCCCCACTACCCTTACCCCCAGGCGATGCTCCTTCTGCCCGGTGCTGTTGCAGGGTGAGATCTTGTGCCCTGGCTTTTGTTACTGTGGGCAGCTGGGGCAGGAGGGATGTCCAGTGGCGCCCGGGCCTGGGGCTCCACGGTGGTCTGACTTCTGTTGCTGGCTGGGTCCCTGGCAGGAAAGCTTTCCCGGTGCGGGTGGTGCAGGGAGGAGTTGGTCTCCCTGGCTCTAGCTAGGGACAGCTGGTGGCTTTGTCAACAGGCCTGTCCCCGGCACCCAGGGGAAGGCAGAACCTTTCATCTCCATTCAGACCAGGTCACTTTTAGATCAGCAGGGGGCAGAGGTAGGACCAAGAAGTGGAGCTCTTGGGGCGATGAGAGACAGAAGGCCAAGGGATTTATATCGCGGGTGTCCACTTGTGTGACTCATCAGCAGGGCCTGTATTGCTAAACCAGTGGCCTGCCCTAGGTGCTCCAGCCCCAAAGGTCCCCGGGGACAGTGATGGGGGGTGGACTTTGAGCCAGTGTCAGGATTACAGAATCCTGATGGAAAATGCATGTGTGTATGGCGTTTCTGAGCCTAGGGCACAGAGAAGGCCCTCAGTAAACACTCTGAGTGAATATGCGTGGTGCCCCAGACTTCCACCGGCTTCAGTGCTCTTTGGTGGCCCAATCTCTTGGTGAGGGCACCATCTCATGACTGCTGATCAGGCTCTGTTAGGGGGCCTTGAGTAATTTCTTTAAAAATGGAAAACAAATTGCTAGTTAATAAATGACATCTTAAAACAGTGGAGTGGGGGTAGGGAACGAAAGTTTTTGGGAGATGAAAGTTTGCTCATTACCGTCCTAGCTGATCCCAGGGCCACGCCAGCACTGCATCTGGGATTTGCAGGGAGTGTAGGTTTTTGTTAGGCTCCACGAACAGGGAGCCCTCCTGGGCTGACAGATCATTGTCAACCTCTAGGAACAAGAGTGGAAATTGCACTACTGGCTAGACTTCCAGGGGACTCAGAAATGCGGGGCAATGAGTAGAGGGGCTGGATGGGTGAAAGGAGCCCTGAGGGATGGGGATGACCCTTTGGCATGTGGCCAGGCTGTCCTTGTCATCGTGATCAGAGCAGTTAGAGAGGCCTCTGGGAGAATCAACAGGTGAAGGGAAGGAGCCAGCAAGCAAGAAAAGATGGATAGTGAGCCTCCCGTCAATAAGGGGCGCAAGAAACAGTTTTAATTCACAAGTTGAGGATGTGGTCGAGTGTGAAATCATAAACTGAAGGTTGGCCCAGGAGCCAACTGAGAAACTCTGCATCTAAGACACATAGAAATGGACTCTGGTCTCAGCAGCTCCCAGCTTTCTCTGCCTTGGGCTTTGGGCCTGCTTGACCCGTCTTCCATACTTTGGGACCAAAGCCAGGCCTGCAAGTCCCTAGAGATTGGGCAGACTTCTACTGGCTTGGAATTTGGTTTTGGGTATGGCTTGAAATAATCTGGACTGTTTGGAGGACTTGGACATGCTTTAAGAGAAATGGAACATTAGGGTAATTCGTTAAACATGTATGGAAACTCTCTGCGGAGCGGGGTGATGGGGAAACAAAATGGGGTGAAGTACCGCTCCTTTCCAGGCAGAGAGGCTGCCGGTCTGATGGGGGAGGGAGGACGAGGATCGGTGACAGTGAAGAGGCAGGACGTGGTCAGTGATAGATGGGCTTTGGAAGGTCAGTAGAGGAAAAACGCTCTTCTGGTTGTTAATGTCAGCGGGGCTTCCTGGGGGAGGAAGTGTTTGTGAGGATGCAGGCTGTGGGAAGGGGGGCAGTGGAAGGCAAGGCTGGGTTGTGGGGAGTTTGTGGCATCCTGCTCAGGAGTCTGGATTTTATTCTGTAGCTGGTGGAGAGGACAGAGGGTTGTAAGCAGCTCGTTGAGCCGATGCCTGTTCCCGTGTCTCGTGCCAGGCTCCTTACAGACGCTCCATTGACATCTCACAATGCCCCTGCAAAGTAGCCGCTGCCGCTGGCAACACCCACCCCGGCCCCATTTTCAGATGGGGAAATGGAGGCTCAGAGGGGTTGAGTCACTTACGGAGTTGCACTGGAACGCGTGCCGGAACTGTTTTCACCCTAGTGTGCTGTTCCCCTCGGAGGTCATTTGGCCCAAGATGGTGGCAGGACTAGTTGGGTTGAGACCAGCTCAGAGATGGTGCTAATTGTGGCCCCGCAGAGAGCCCACCAGAGTCTGACTCAGGCCGTGGGACTGAGAAACGGAGGAGGAGGAGGCTGAAGGACTTTGTAGCTGCTTTGGGGATCGGGTCATTACAGGTGACCTGAGGTTTGGGGAAGGACCGTTAAGTGACAGTGTCACTGCTTTCAACCCCCGGCAGGGCTCTCTGTAGGCAGAGGGCATAGTCTCGTCCTGTGCCTCCTGAGGGAGGAGACAGCAGCAAGAGCCACAGGAGGCTAAGGGGAACGGGATACCCGGGGAGAGGCGAGGTCCCATTGCTAAAGGTGTGCAGTGAGACTGGAGAGCGGGAGGGGACGCAGGAGGCGTGTCGTCGGAGGGTCACGCCTGGGTGACCTCTTTCAGTTCCCTTTTCTTCCGAGAATCTCAGTAGCTGGGGCGGGGGGTGCTCGGCCCAACTCCACCCCTCCCCGTTTTTCTCATAGCTCTTCAGAGCTGCCCCTTCCTGTGCTTCTTGGGAAGTTCCCCATCCTGGCCTGGCCTGCAGTGCTCTGCCTGGGAGAGGCCTTCCCCCTATGGAACACACTCAGCACTGGTGACCTTCCGGGGGCCCCTCGGGATATCTGGACCAGCTGCCAGAGCCAGAGCTGCCGGGACTGTGGTTTCACAGAGGACTGGAACCTTCTGCCTCTGTTTCCCCAACTGTGAAATGGGTTCCATCTCTCTTTCCTCAGATGTGTGGAAAGCAAGCTGAATCGTGAGTCAGCCTGAATCAGTAGGAGTTGAAAGGAAGGGTTTGAAACTGAGGAGGGGGGCAGGGGGTGGGGTAGAGACAGGGCTTTCCCCCTCCTTCCCTTCAGTAATGGTTAATGCAGGGTCTCCTGGTCTTTTTAAAATTTTTTTATGTTTTTTATTTATTTATGAGAGAGAGAGAGAGACAGCATGAACAGGGGAGGGTCAGAGAGAGAGAGAGACACACACACACAGAATCCGAAGCAGGCTCCAGGCTCTGAGCTGTCAGCATGGAGCCCGACGCGGGGCTCAAACCAACGAAT